AATAATAATAATTATTATTATTATTAGTAGTAGTAGTAGTAGTATAATTATATTATTATTATTTATTAAATTCTTATTTTGTTTGATATTTTATTTGTTAATAATAATAATAATAATTACTAAATAAAAGTAAACAAAAAGATCATTATTATCATTATCATTATTATTATTTTTTATATATTGATATATAATTACAACATTTCAGGCCAAATTGTACCTACAAACAAGCATAGCAAACATAGAGCTCTTTTTTTTTAAATCACAGCAATTAGATTGTTCCTCCAAATGGTGCCACCCTATCTAACAGGATGTGTGCATATTTGAGTATGTGCCTCTGAGGCTGTGTGTGTGTACCGTCAGTCTCGCAGGCAGCAGCTCCGTCACTGGTGGGACAGAGGCGAGTCTCTATCTTGCGTTTGCCGAGCTGAAGGTCGTGAGGGTCAGCGAGGAGAGCCCTGCAGGTGTACCTGACCCTCTGCTCCTGTCTCGCCCCCATCTGAGTCACATTAACAGGGTACCAGGGTGTCCACGGGGTGGTCCGCCTCACTTCGGCACACGCGTCCAAATTACACACCTTATACTCCTGGATACAGTAACACACATAGTTTTCGCATCTTTTTCTGATATTAGGGTTTTTTTATTTTTTATGACCAGTTGAAGACCCTACCAGAGGGCAACCAGGACACGTGTTTCCGTTCTCGCAGGTCCGAACGCGGGATTGGATTCCACCACCGCAGGGAACACTACATTTGGACCAAGCGCTCCAGGAGACCCAGGACACCGGAACAGGACATGGATTCTTTTCATTACACAACCTGAATCACACACAAATGAAACCGAATCATCTTCCAGTCAACTCAAATAAACACACACTTATGATTCAGTTCAGTTTAGTTAAACAATCAAACAAATGACTCTTAAGAGTTTTAGTGAAACAAAACCATAAAGCATAGCTAGTGTAGTCCAACTGATTCCTGAAGACTTGACCCTTATGATTCAGTTTTTTGTAGTGAATTAATAGCACCTGAGTCCCGAACCAATGAATCCAAAGAGGCCTTTTTATGAATTGAATCAGAACTATAAAGCACAGCCTGTAGTCCATCTTTCCTCTCATCTCACCTCTCCTCTCGTGCCTGACCCACACATACGCGTCCTCCGTGTCGGGGTGCTGGGTTGTTGCAGGATCGCTGACGGACCTCAAACCCAATGCCACAGCTGGTGCTGCACTGGGCCCAGGACGACCAGGGAGTCCAGCCTCCATTCCTGAACAAACAGAAGCAGGCGTTAGCATGGATACCATACAATAACAGTCTGGTAGGCTATCAGTAGTGCATTAAAGAGGCCATATTTGTCACTTTTTGTAATTGTATAATGTTTGTCAATGTTTCTTGGACTAAAAACACAGTAGTAACTTGTTTCATGACTATTTTCCACTTTCTCTCTGTCCTTTTAAATAAAATAGACTTCTATAAGATGTCTATATGTAAATGACCTTACTTATGATTGGCTATGTACCAGTGGTAGTTTACCAATGGTATTGCAGCAGCTAAATACTGTTTAGGTGTTAATATGTAAATGTGGGCGGTCATGTGATAATGTGATCGGGGCTGTGATGTCATGATGACATCAGAATGATCCGTTCAGCTAACTAGATTTTTGAGAAGAAATTGTAAGTGACGCTTGACTTCTTTCTTGTTTTAAAAATTTATCTTTGACCATACTTTTCAATGTGTTTTCTTCTATACTATTATAGTATTTATTACAAATTTTAATTATCTTTTATTTTTATATTTACAATTTAATTTGGTTTACGTTTCAGTAATTTTGTTGTGCTTTTGACATTTTAATTCGTTTTATTTATCTTTAGTATTTCTATTATTGTTATATTTACAACTGAATTTGTTTAAGCTTCAGTAATTTTAAGTGTTTTATTTATTTATATATTTATTTATTTATTTACTCTGTGTTTAATGCACAGATTGAATTCACTTTTATTTCAAAAAATATTTTTTATTTTATTTTATTAGTAATTTTAGTACTTCAGTACTACTGTTATTATAGTATCATTGAGATACAATTAAAGTTTTTATTAATATTTTGAACCAGTTTTCATTTACTTTTTATTTTTAGGTTTTTGTCGTTTTAGTATTTTTTATATATGCCTGTCTAGTTTTATTGATTTTTATTTCAGTTTTAGTTTTAGTTATTTTAGTATATTAAGTTAAACTAAACAAAAATGAGAAATGCTGCCTTGGCAACTAGCTGAAATAAAAAAAAAGTTTATATTTTATTTCAGTTTACATTTATTTTAATTAACAATTATATATATATATATATATATATATATGTATATATATGTAGTTT